GAAATCTTTGGTTGTAGGTTCTTTCTTTTCATCACTTTGAATACTTCATGCCAGTCTCTTTTGGCCTGTAAAGTTGCTATTGAGAAATCAGCTGACAATCTTCTGGGAACTTCCTTGTAGGTAAGTAGCTGCTTTTCTCTTGCTGCTTTAAAGATTCTTTGTTTTTAATCTTTTGCACTCTAATTATGATGTTTCTTGGCATGGACCTCATTTGGGTTCATCTTGTTTGGGATCTCTGTACTTCCTGTAACTGTGTGCCTTTTCTTTTTCAGCAGGTTAGGGAAAATTTTAGCCATTATTTGTTCAAATAGGTTCTTGATTCCTTCCTCTCTCTTTTCTTCTTCTGGTACCCCTATGACACAGATGTTGTTATGCTTTGTGTTGTCCCAGAGGTCCCTTAGACTATTTCCACTTAAAAATTTTTTTCTTTTTTTTTTTTTGCGTTGATTGGGTGTTTTCTATTATCTTGCCTTCCAAATATCTGATTCAGTTTTCTGCTACATGTAGCATGCTGTTGATTTTTTCTAGTGTATTCTTTTTTAAAAGAAATTTTATTTATTTATTTTTAGAGGGAGGGGAAAGAAGGGAGAGAGAGGGAAGAGAAACATCAATGTGTGGTTGCCTCTCGTGTGCTCCCCACTGGGGACGTGGTCTGTAGCTCAGGCATGTGCCCTGACTGGGAATCAAACTGGTGACCCTTTGGTTCAAAGGCTGGCACTCAATCCACTGAGCCATACCACCCAGGGCATCTAGTGTATTCTTCATTTTAGATATTCTATTCTTTGTTTCTGACTGGTTTTTATATATGTTTTCTATTTCTTTTTATGTTTGCTTTTTCTTTGTTGAAGTTATTACTAAGTTCCTTGAGCATCCTTATAGCCATTGTTTTGAATTCTGTATCTGGTATTAGATTGCTCGCCTCCATTTAATTTAGTTATTATTCTGTGTATTTCTTCTGTTCTTCCATTTAGTACATGATTTCTTTGTCTCCCCACTTTGGCTGCCTCTGTATTTGTTTCTGTGTGTTAGGTAGATCTGCTATTCCTCCCAGTCTTGGTATGGTGGCCTCATATAGTAGGTGTCTTGTGGGGCACAATGAGATAGTCTCCCTGATCACCTGAGCTAGGTGCTCCAGGAATGTCCCTTACCTGGGTTATGTAGGCCCTGTTGTTGTAATTGAGTCTTAATTGTTGTTGGCCCATTTGTAAGTGTGTTTGCTTCTCTTGCTGGATTGACATTGAGTATAGTGTGAGCTGCTGTGTGTGAGTTGACTCTGAAAGCTGAATTCACCCCAACAGGAACTGGTGTTTGCCAAAATCTTCTTTTGTGTGTGCCACTGTGGAGCTAATCAGGTCATGTTCTGATGTATTATGAATCGCTGGCTGTATTGTTTCTGGGGCAATTTGAGAGGGGAATCCAGTGCTGGTCCATGTCAGCTGCTGCCTGTGACCAGCCTGAACTATGTGTTTGGGGCTACAAAGTGATCCTGATCCAAATTTTGTGGCTGCTTCTGCTGATCATCAGTGTATGTAGGAGGGGCCTAGGTGTGTTCCAAGGCCAGCTTCCACCAGCACTGAGCCTGGAGGAAAGTTAGCAAAGGGTCCAAGGCTCCCAGACATGTGCCCTCATCTGTTAGCTGCCTGTTAGGCTTAGTAACTGAAAGCTTCTGGCAATATGTGTGTGGTGTGAGTGAGTCACCATGTAGGGGTGAGTGGTGTTCACCAGATTGATGCAGCTTCAAACTTGGTGCCAGTACTGGGTTTGAGGCCACTCAGCCACAGTCTCAGGGTACACCAAGGTCAGCTGTCACCTGCTAGTGCCTGTTGACCTTTGTGATGGAGCAGAATCTCAGTGACTCATTTGGGCAGTGATTTTTAACAAGTGTGCCATGACACACTGGTGTACCACAAGAAATTTTAAGGGACTGGGAGCATGTCAGAGAAGATATCGCCCTCCCAGATGGAGGCTTGGTGCAGGCCCATGAGATAGTGTTATCAGCAGTGAGGCCTGGGCAGGGGCCTGTATGGGAAGCCTGTGTGTAGCTGGGACTATAGAGGGCAGGGTGGCTGCTTTAAGACTGCGGTGGTGGGGAACAAGGAGTGCTGCAAGATGATGCTGCTTCCAGGTGTTCGCCAAGGACGCCTACGCCAGGAGTTATGTCCTGACCATGTTTGAGGACTACACTATGGGCTTTGACATAGACCAACACCACATTGAGCTCAACATGTGGGACACTTTAGGTCTTTCTTCCTATGATAGTGTTGGCCTCTGGCCTACCTTGATACAGACACTGTGCTCATTGGCTTCAACATTAGCCCACCAGAAACACTAGACAGTCTCCTTAAGTAGCAAGGGGAGACTCAGGAGTTTTGCCCCAGTGGCAAAGTTGTGCTGGCTGGCTGTAAATTGGACATGTTGACTGAACTGGCCACACTGAGGGAGCTGTCCAAGTAGCGGCTTATCTCTTGTACAAATGAGCAGGGCACTATGCTGGCCAAGCAGGTGGGGACCATGTCCTATGTGGAGTGCTCCTCCACATTGTCTGAGTGATCCTCTGATCACAGTGCCCAGGATGTGGCCACAGTGACATCCCTTGGCCATAGCCACAGGTACCTGTCCTGTGCTGACTCAAACAGGGACTACAACAATCTACTCAGCTGGCAGGATGGCCAGATTGGGGGAATGGGAATGAAGACGAAACACACAAAGACTGAGCCGAGAATTGCAACCTCGGGTGAGGAGTTGGGAAGGGGCAGAGTATCAGAAGGGGCTGTGAAGGGTACAATTGTTCCCCTGCCTATACCCTGCCATCCTGACCTCCTGACTGGGACTTCAGAATAGGCTGAGTGAGCAGTTCTCCTAGGCAAGGGACTTGGAGGCACAAGGTCTCACCATTCTATACATCTTCATCCCTTTCCTCTGCACAGGAAGTTGAGGGAACTAGCAGGACAGACATCTGGACCAGGAGCTGTGATAGGGCAGGAAGGTTGGGGAAGCTGGCATCAATCAGTGACCTTGGTTGAGTCTCCCACCCCTAGTTCCTATATCCTGGTTGTGGCTTCCATCCCTAATGAAAGTGACCACTCCATATCCTTTTCTTTTCCCCTCTTCTCACTTCTACAGCTGTTCTCATTCATCCTAACCTCCAGGAAACATGTTCTAAATTAAAAAGCAAATTGAGAAGCCCCTCCCCCCATATATCCACCAGTCCTAGCTCCTCCCTCTCTTCCCTCAACAATCTCCAAATAAAGCCCATGAAAAAAAAATTTTTTTAAATGCAACACCTGACTATTTAGTCAAGGGCACTAACCTCTTTTCCCTTAGATTGTCAAATAAAAATATTACAACAGCCAACACAACTATAACCATCTGGTGTGAATAAATCAAAATTATACCTTTTTTTGTCGAATCAACAAAAACTATAAAATATTTTTTGGTGTGCCACAGAATTATAGTAATTGGTTTATGTGTACCATGAGATGAAAAAATGTTGAAAATCGCTGCATTAGGGTGAGCCCAGCAGTGTTCATCAGTCCCGAATAGCCTAAGATTTGGCCATGTGAGTGAAGGGTTCTGCATAGGAATGGTGGCAGTAGTCTATCATGCAAGGGGAAAATGGCCCTGCCCAAGAGCCACACACTAAATTTTTCCTGGAGTCTGTTCATACCTCCTGGAGAGTATTCTCTTGGGTGGGGGGAGGTGGCACATTATGTTGGCCACAGCCCACTGAATATTTCAGACTTAGCAGGGTGCGTGAGGAGGAGTTGGGAGGGTAGGTTGGAATTTGTGGTTCTTTCCTGGCGGGACTAGTGGATCTTTCTCTGTGGAGTGGGGCCCTCTGGTGCCACTGCTCTGGCTTGTGTGTGTGTATGGGGGGGGGTCACCACTTGAGGTACCTATTGCTGAGGCACACTGTAGGAGGAGGGGAAATGGCCTTTGCGACACGACAACACAAGTTTATTTCTGACCTTCCCAGAGTTTGTCCTCAAGATTCCCCCCCAAGAAAGTCTACACCCCAGGCCCAGGCAGCAGATCCCTCTGCACGGTGTGAGCTTGGATGGATGGGGCAAAGGGGGCCTGGAGGGTGGGGCCTGTGCAGTCACCCCAGGTTGACACAATATGCTTGACTCAGGAAAAATGGCATCCGTGGGCAGTGTGTGAGAGACACTCAGAACAGGGACCCTGGTAGATGTCCCTTCATCTCTCTTCCTGGAGCCATACAACCCAGTCGGTTTTCGCAGCCCTCCAGTTCACTTTGAGCTGTCTTCCCTTTACCAGAACCTAGGGTGAGTGGCTCTGAGTGAGATTTTGTGTGCTGGCCCTTTAAGAGGGCAACTGGGTTTCTAGCAGACTACTGACTCTCCCTGGGGGACAGAATCTCTGCTGATTTTCACAGCCAGATGTTGTGTGGATACATCTTCTGGTTCTGTTGGTCCCAGCTGGGGACCCCTGAGTGGGGTTGAGACCTCACATTCCTCAGAGGAGACCTTTGTAATTCAGATAACCCTGTGGATTCTTAGTTGCTGCCCATTGGAGTGGGGCCAGCCCTTTTTCCCTTCCTCCCAGTCTCAATGTGGCTTCTTCTGTAAATCTTTGATTGTAAGACTTTTGTTCAGCTAGTATTCAATTGGTTATTGAGATTGATTGTTCTGTTTGATTGTTCTATATCTTAGTTGTAATTCCAGTTCACACCTGGGAGGAGGTGATTGTAATTTCCACCTACTCCACCGCCATCTTCTTCCTCTTTAATTTTTCATTACATAGAGTCTTTACATGAGCAATTTTCTGGATATTTTGATTTATCTTTATGATTTCTTGTATATTTATGTATTTTATGATTAAATGGAGTACCAATATAAATCAACTCTTTTAATGGTGTTTTTGATTAATAGTTTATATTACATTTGCTTTTGGTATATTTTAAAGTTAGTATCAAATTATAAATATCTACTGACAAAGTACTCATTTTAGATATTTCTTTTTTCTTTTTTTTTTTCCAGAAACCATGAGTAGAGGATCTGAAGTCCACATTTTTTGGGGTGCTCCAATTGGCCCATTGAAAATGATAGTATCACAGGAACCAACTTCTTTAGTGTCCAGTGCTACTCCCTGGAAAAAAATTCAGCTTTTATACAATCAACATTCTTTACATCTGAAGGATGAAAAATGCAAGAACGAAAATCTTGAAGATTTTCAAGTCCTAGAAACTACTGGCCCTCCAGATCTTCCTAATGGTCATTTCTCAGCAAACTCAATGAATAGATCTGTTCATGTGAAGGATGACTTTATACATTGTGTTTCTGAAACACAGACTCAAAAATTCCAGATGAGTCATCCCTTATGGATGAGTGATAAAACTAACTCTGATGTCCAGCTATGTGCATGTAAGGGCAGAGTGCAGCATTTAACTGAAGAAGAAAAGTATCAAAAGCTTTTCAGTGTAAGTAAGAAAATCACAGTTGAACAGCATGAAGATCAATTAAATATATGTGGTCAAAATGTCCAAAAAAATATCTTTCAGTTAGACCATAAGTGTGCAGCTATATTGGATTTGGTCTGTAGTACTAAACAGATTAATATAGGGTCAGGAGCTATTGAAACAACATATATAACAACAGAACATCAAGAAATACAAAACCAATGTCTGGAAAAGAATTCCTCTAACACAGTAGATAAGCCAAGGCCTGAAGGAGCAGTTAGGAAGGCCTCAGACCTTAAAGTATCTACTGATACTGAATTTCTCAGTATAATGACCTCCAGCCAACTAGCTTTTTTAACTCAAAGGAAGTATAAAGGGGGTAATTCTATAAATAAAGGGAGGTTAAACATGGAGCTTGGATCAGAAGCAAGTCTTGGGGAAATAAAAATAACTGAAGATAATTTGATTCAGCCTGATGATGCTTTTGTAGAAAGATATGAAAGTAGACAAAACCAAGCATATTCCCTTGAAGTTTTTAGTCCTGTTTTTCCTGAAACAAGGAGTAGTCACATTCATATAAACTGTGATAAAGGCTTTGAAGGAAATATGAGATCTCAAGAACTTTTTAATTTTGAAGATAAACTGCCATCAAATGATATATGTATTGAGTCGTGTACCTCAGGAATACTGTGCTCCCAAATAAATGCTTTCCACAAAAATTCTGTTAAAAGAAATTGGATCTCTGAAGATAAACTGAGCCATCTTAAAGTCTTCCAAGTTTCTAAAAAAATTAAGTTGGTTTCTAATGAAGGAGATCCTACTACAAGGGACCAGAGGAGTGTGTCTAAATTTAAGGGTATTAAAAAAACATCATTAATAAAAGATTGTAATTCTAAAAGTCAGAAGTATAATTGTTTAGTCATGGTATTATCTCCATGTCATGTGAAAGAAATAAATACAAAATCTGGACCAAATTCTGGCTCTAAGGTGCCTTTAGCAACAATTGTGATAATTGACCAATCAGAAATTAAAAAGAAAGTTTTTCTGTGGAGGACTGCGGCATTTTGGGCACTTACACTGTTTCTTGGAGATATAATTTTACTTACAGGTAAGGTCATTGTGTTATAGTGGTAATTTAGTGTATAAAACTATAAGCTTTTCTCCCTCCTACTTGAGGACTCTTTCTTTCCCATTTGCCTCTCTAACGCCAGCATGACTGACCCCTTTATAACATCTGTATTGGCCTCCTCACCATTGCCTAGTATTCTGTGCATTGCCATTTCTGGGCCTGTGTTCCAGCCTTCTTAGTTCTGTCCCTCATTTCTACTCACCTTCTCCCTCAGAAGCCTTCTTTGGTTGTTCCTCCTACTCATTTATTATACTAGTATTTAGGTCATATCATCAGGCTCTTTCTTTGTTTTCTTATGGCTTTGTTTATGTATGTCTTATTTTTAGCCCTTTTCATTAACTATATTAGCAGTTTTATGATGAAAGGACAATGTGTCTGCTACTTTACTTAATCCCAAGTAATGCTGTGCGTATTATGTTCTTATTGGGGGAACAGATATAGAATATCTATTGCATTTTTAAATTATTGAAGTTACATTAATCACATTGGGAAATATGGAAAGGTTAACTCCTGATATATCATACCAACCTCATATAACCACCATTAGAGTTTTGAAGTGTTACCAGTTATCTTACCTATACTTCTTAAAATTTGTGTACATAGATATATAAAAGCTGATATTGGGAAGTCCCTTGTGTCAAACCCTGTTTTAGACTTTACATGTATATCAACTCTTTACAACTATGTGAGGAAGGTACTGGTTATTATTCCCATTTTTTAGTTTGAGGAAATTGAGACCCAGAGAAGTAAAGCAATTTGTCCAATGTTGCACATCTAGGAAGTGATAAAGCCAGGATTTCACCTAGACTGCAGAATGCATACCCTTACTATATAGTTGTAATCCTAAAAACTGTGTAGTTTTTTATCCTGCTTTTTCACCTGACATAAGAAAGTTAATATTTTGTTACATTTCTTTTTAAAAATTTATTTTGTTTTAGAGAAACATCGATTTGTTCTTCCCCTTATTGATGCATTTATTGGTTGATTCTCATATATGCCTTGACCAGGGATTGAACCCACACCCTTGGTGTATTGGTATGATGCTCTAACTACCTGAACTATCTGGCCAGGGTATTGCTGCAGTTCTTTATTGACTTAAAATCAGTACACAGTATAGTAAAGCAGAGACACCGGACATTTTAAGGATGAATCTCAGACTGGGAAGAAATTGATTAAGCTTAATAACACCTCTAAAGAAAGAATGTGATAGAAAAGAGGTATCGGGTCAGCCTTAGAAGCTTAGAAAAAGACAACATCAAGAAAACCATTAGTAGGTTCTACAAATGTTTTGCTGCGGGTATGAGAACTTTAGTTAATCTACCTTGCTAGTTGTGTAAGATTGTAAAGTGCTGTCTCTAATAAAGAGACACTGGCAATGTCATCTTATTTACGGGCAAGTCAATTCATCTAACTCCTTTTGCTCTGGTTCATTGCTCACTGAGTAGCCCTTTTGCTCAGTATTTGGCTTCCCAGGTGTAAAACTGCCTATAAGGTGTATGATGTAAACAGTAGCAGTAGCAAGGCTGTGGGCAGATTCAAGAAGCAGAGTCAAAAGTAGAGGGTTAGAGTAGGCCTCTTTGGGTTCATCCTAAGTGAAATAAGCCAAGTGGTGAAAGGCAAATACCATATGATCTCACCTATAAGTGGAAGCTAATCAACAAAACAAACAAGCAAGCAAAATATAACCAGAGACATTGAAATAAAGAACAAACTGACAGTAACAGAAGGGAGGGGGAAGAGGGATAATGGGGGAAAATAGGGGGCGGATCATCAAGGAACATATATAAAGGACACATGGACAAAGCCAAAGGGGGTAGGTTCAAGGGTGGGGGGGAAATGGAGACAACTGTACTTGAACAACAATAAAAAATTAAAAAAAAATTTTTTTAAAGTAGAGGGCTAATAACAAAGGTGGGGAGAGGTAGAAGTTCAAGATGACCTCATCTTTTAATTTACCTGGCTAGGACTTAGCCATCCTGAGTTTGGGGAGCCAATAGAATACACAGTCAAGAATGTCCCTTAGCAGTCATGAGACCAGGTTGCCTGCTGCCTTGTTTACCCACCCTCCCTCCCCCACCCCCCTACAAAAAGAATGTCCTTTAGGCAGTTGAAGATAAACAGGTAAAAGGGTTTGAAACTGAGAAGGTCTGGAATTAAATCATTTAACATATTTGAAGTTTGATTCCCTGATATGTGGGAGGCATGCATATTTGTTATGATTGGTAAGTTAACCACAGTATGAAGGAATTTATGGCATGATCATAACTTTTCCCCCCTTTCTAGATGTTATTATTCATGAAGGTCATTGGATTGGTGAGACAATACTACAATCAACATTTACCAGTCAATTATTAAATCTTGGGAGTTATTCATCTGTCCAGCCTGAAGAATGTAAGGCACATTTTACATATAATAATATCTTAATATTTCAAGCATATATACACATTTTTTAAAAGTAGAGTTAAAATGGTAAGTTTATAAAATGTTTTCTAAGTTTGCTGGGGAGTATTGCTTTATTTTGTTTAGTAAGAATGAAATAGAATTTATAAAAACAAACTTGTACATTGTGACACATACATATTTAAAGAAATATTGAGGTTTATGTTTCATTTTCTCAGAGAGTCAGTATAGTGGTAGTTCTTAACCTTTTAGGGAGTCACAGACCTCTTTGAGATGCTAATGGCCATTTCCCCAGAAAAATGGACTTAAGTAAATAGAAGCAAAATTTTGCATGGATCTACAAAGTTCACTAGACTTTCTGAGCCTCTGATTAAGAAACCTTTAGGTAATGAAAAAAGCATGGGTTATAGTCAGATAGGTAGGAGTTTGAATCCTTGTTCTTCCATCTACCATTGCTAGGAAAAACTACCTTTCTTCTCTGACATCCCTTTTTGCTTCGTTAAAATAAGCTGTTGAATGAAGAAACTAGCAGCTATCTTTTTCACCAAGAAATTTAAAAAATAAAAAGAAAATAAAGTAAGGTAGACAGTATAAACTGGTAGTCATAGTCTCTGGAATCAGACAGACCAAATTTGAATCCTGGTCCTACACTTCTAAAGTCTGTGTTTTTAGGCAAGTTACTTGACCTCATTATACCCCTTATCCTCATTGGTGAAGGAAATAAAAATACATACATAACTTAATAGGGTTGTTTGTGAAGATTAAATGAAAGAGTGAATATAAGGTGTTGAACTTGCATATAATATGATAACAATATAATAATATTAGTAGGAGAAGTAATAAGCAAAATATTTTATAAAATACTGAAATAGTGTCAGGAAAATAGCTATCAGTATGTACAAGATTATACAAGCCATTGCTTAGAAAACAAGAAGATAAAGTATGGAATTCCAACTGCTAAACAATAAGGATTATCAAAGAAAGGCAGAGTAAACAGAATAGAATGATAACAACTAGAACAACAATGGTGTTTGGAAAGAGCAGTGTTCCCCTGTATCCTAGGGAGCTTAGCAGAAAATCAGCACTGATATATTCTCATAAAATAACTAAAATTGAGTTCTTCATCTACACAGCATATTTGTATTAACTGTTGGCATTGAGGCACTGTGTACTGGGGATATATACCTGGTATCTGCTTTTGTGGAGCTCAAGTGCCTGTGTGGAAGACAGACATGTATATAAAATATTTGCAGGTGATAATGAATGCTATTAAGATAAATAACTAATGGCCAAGATAATAGAATACTATGGTTGTGGTTGTGAAGGGCTGGTCATGGAGTGGATTCAAAGTTACTAATTTATGATAGTTGAAGTTGGGAGATAATAGGAGGCTAGTGTAGATCATGAGAAATGGATGAATTTCAAATGTAGCTGTGAATAGAGTTAACAGGAATTTCTGATGGTGTGGATTTGGAGATGAAGGAAGAGTAGCAATCTACTACTACTGGGTTTCTGGTTTTAGTAACTAGGTAGCCTTTATTAGAAAAGACTGTGAGGTAATAGGTTCATGGGGAAAAATAAGGGTTCTGTCTTAGGCATGTTAAGTTTTAGATATCTCTGAGGCGTCCAGTGAAGATGTCATGTATGGATTAGAAACGAAGTCCAAAACTCAGAGGAAAAGTTTGAAATTAAGACATAAATTTTAGAATTATTAGCTCTGTTATTGGGATGGATTTTTTTTTAAATTATGAGAGTACACTTACTAAAACTGGGGATAGTGAAACAAAGGATGGGCCTAGGGTAGAGGAAGCAAGAGGAGAGAACCTAGGTGGTGTTCTGCTTTGGCTTTCTAAAAATGTTAGAGGAAAGAAGTCAGCCATGCTGGGCTGCATGGACTCACTGAGAAGTAAAAGCTACAGTGACAGAAGCGAGCCAAGGCAGGGCTGCTGTTAGCACACTGAAAAGTTAGAGAAAAGCGGGGTTTGGAGACAGGTTCAGGGGAGTAACCCCAGGACGAGTTGCCACTGCCTATTGCTCCCATGGTTGCAAGTTTAGTGGGGACCCTTAAATTTAGGAGAGAAAAATAAAGATGCATGCCTGAGAGGGAAGAAAAGCATAGGTGTGTTCCAGAGAGAGCCCACATTAATGGGATTTATAATATGAAATACATACTTACTTGGTCTTTGTCCTCATTTCCAGCACAGAGCTTCTAAAAGTCTTGGAATTTTTTAGGTGATTAGAGTGATAAAGGTGTCTTGATATTCATAATGAACCCCATTCAACCACACCTGAGTTAATATTGATGAAGTGACATTTAGAAAACACTTAAGGATGGGGGCTGGTTGGCAGGCAAACCAACAATGTGATTACAAGGTTGGAAATTTCAGTACCCCACCTTGTAGGAGAGAAAGGCTGGAGATTGAATTAATCTCCAGTTAATTGATCATGCCTATGGAATGAAACCACCATTAAAAACCCAAAAGGGCAGAGTTTGGAGAGCTTCCAGGTTGTTGAACATGTGGAGATTCAGGAGAGTGTAGTGACCAGGGAGGGTGTGGAAGCACTGTGCCCCTTCTCATGTATCTTACCCTATGTATCTTTTCCATCTAAGTGTTCATATAATATCTTTTATAGTGAACTGGTAAATGTAAGTAAATGTCTCTCTGAGTTTTGTGAGCCCTTCTAGCATATTAATTGAGTCTGAGGATGGGGAAAAAACCCCCAGAGGAATACGTGTCAGAATTATATAGTAGCATAAAGATAATAGTCACTTATTTTATTATTTGAAAAAAATTTTAATTTCGAAATAAGACTCACAAGGGATTACAAAAATAATACATAAAGTTTCAGGAGCCCTTCACCCAGCTTCCCCAATGGTGACATCTTACATAACTTTAGTACAATATCAATATCAGGAAAGTGACATTGCTATGATACTGTTAACTATCCCTCAGACCTTATTCTGTATTCATATGCTCTGTGTGTGTGTGTGTGTGTGTGTGTGTAGTTCTGTGAAGTTTGAGCCCACGTATAAATTTGTGTTAACACCACAAATTTATAAGAATAGTTCACTACAAAGGAACTTTTTAATGCTACCTCTTTAATAGTCATCACTGCCTCTGCTCCAACCCCCCATTTGTCTTCTGACAACCACTAATTTGGTCTTCATCTTAACTTTGTCATCTTGAGAGTGTTATATAGTCCTGTAAATGCTTTGTAAGTGAAATCATGTTTTCTAAATGCCCTGAGATCCATCTAAATTGTTGCATGTATCAATAATTATTTCTTTTCAGTGCTGAGTAGCATTCCATTGTATGGATCTACCACAGTTTAATTATTCAGCTGCTGAAGAACATTTAGGTTGTTTCCCCTTTGTGGGCTATTATGAATAAAGCAGCTGTGAAATTTGTATACAGGTTTTTGTGTGAACATAAATTTTCATTTCTCTGGCATAAATGTCTAAAAGTGCAGTTGCTGTACTGTATGGTAAGTACATGTTTAGTTTTATAAGAAACTGACAAACTATTTTCCAGAGTGGCTGTACCATTTAAAATTTTTACTAGCAATGTATCTTCTTCCAGTTTCTCAACATCTTTGCAGCATTTGGAATTACCCTTTTTTAAAAAAATCCTCACCTAGGATATTATTGATTTTAGAGAGAGTGAAGTGAGAGAAACATAGATATGAGAGAAAAACATTGATCAGTTGCCTCCCATATACACCCAGCTGGGGATTGAACTGATAACCTTTTGGTGTACTAGACCATTCTCTATCAAGCCACTTGGCCAAATATTATTATCCTATTTTTTATTTTAGCTATTCTCATTGGTGTTCAGTGATATCTTACTGTGGTTTTAATTGGCATTTTTAATGGTACAAGTTCTAACAGAATATAACTAATGGAGATAAATAATGGAAATAGGGTAGTGAATAGGGTATTTCTCATGGATATAAATTGAACTCTACACTCTAATAATACACACTCTTTTTATGCACCCACCATGCTTTCAGAAAAATTGAGACTACTAGGTCTCAATTTAGGTCACAAACAAAATATGAGTAACTTCTGTAAAGTAAAATTGTTACAGACATGCTGATCAAATATTGTAAAACTAGAATTTATTAACAACAACAAGAAAAATAAGGTCCTTTATCTGGAAATTTTAAAACCTATTAAATAAATTCTAGGTAAAAGGGGAATACAAACTGGATATTATAGAATTTTTAAGAAGTAATAACAGTGAAAATTCTACATGTCAGAATCTCTGGGATGTATTTAAGGCTGTTATCAGAGAAAAATTTATTATTTAAAAACTGTATCGATAAACATGAAAGAATAAAAATAAATGAATTAAAGTCGAAGCTCAGCAAACCAGCAAAAGAACCACAAAGTAAACCAAAGAAATAACAAAGAATGAAATAATAGAGATAAAAGCAGAAATTAACAACAATGAGAATTACAAAATAATAAATATAATCAAAATCCTGTTTCCAAAAATTACAAAATATATGAACCACCTAGTACATTTGATCAATTAAAAAAGGTAGGCTCTGGCTGGTGTGGCTCAGTAGATTGAGTGCTGCCCTGTGAACCAAAGAGTTGCTGATTCCATTTCAGTCAGGGTACATACATGCCTGGGTTGCGGGCCAGGTCCCTAGCTTGGGGCATGGGAGAGGCAACCACACATTGATATTTCTCTCCCTGTCTCCTCCCTTTCCCTCTGTCTAAAAATAAATAAATCTCATTTTTATTACATTTTTTATTGTTCAAATACAGTTGTCTCCATTTCCCCTTACCCCAGCCATCCCACATCCCACCCTTGATCCTACCCCCAATCCCCACCTTGGTGTTGTCCATGTGTCCTTTATACATGTTCCTGAAAACCCCTACTCCTTTTCCCTCTTTTATCCCCTCCCACCTCCCCTCTGGTTACTGTTAGTTTGTTCTTAATTTCACTGTCTCTGGTTATATTTTGCTTTCTTGTTTGTTT